TCTAAACTATTGGGACCGACTAAAGAGCCTAAAACTGTAATCCCTTGAGCGCAGGCGGGAGAGGTACATAATAATTTACACGTGGAAAATATTAGAGGGGCTGGTCCCAAATCTGCACACAGAAATAACATCACATGAGACCAGAAGACATGGCAGGATGTGCAGAATACCCCCGTTGAAGAGCAGAGGTGCAACAGCTACTCTGAGAGAGAACTCTATCAACATCAGAGGCCGGAGACTGTTCAACACGCTTCCACTACACATAAGGGGCATAACTGGCTTACCCCTCACAGTGTTCAAGAGAGAACTATCAACATCAGAGGCCCGAGACTGTTCAACACGCTTCCGCTACACATAAAGGGCATAACTGGCTTACCCCTCACAGTGTTCAAGAGAGAACTGGATAAGCACCTCCAAAGGATACCTGATCAACCAGGCTGTGACTCATACGTCAGGCTGTGAGCAGCCGCGTCCAACAGCCTGGTTGATCAGTCTAGCAACGAGGAGGCCTGGTCGACGACCGGGCCGCGGGGACGCTAAGCCCCGGAAGCACCTCAAGGTAACCTCAAGGTAATCTAGGGTGGACCAAGCAGCAGGCGAGATGAAAATCATAGAGAAAATAGTAGGTTTAGGAGAAGGCTCAAAGAAAAATGTCAGTGATTTTAGAAGAATAGGAAAATATGAGAGACAAGAATCGCCCCTTAAAGGTGACGTTTAATGGAGTGAAAAACATGATGGAAGTGCTTAGAAATGCCAGGAATTTGCAGAGTGATGAGGTTAGCAAACTTTGGTCAATAAGCAAGACCTCTCCAAGGAAGACAGAGAAAAGCTGAAAATGAACCTAATTGAGGCAAAATGTCTAAATGGAGATAGAAATATAGAAGACAGAAATTCTTTTTTCTAAAAGTGACAGGGACTGGAAAATTTGTGAAATGGTACATAAAAACAAAGCAACAAGATCAGTAGTGGAAGGGGGAGTAAAGAGCAAAGGAAAAGGGGACATGTTCCTGAAAATTGTATATACCAACGTAGATGGAGTGAGGTCAAAAACTTTGGAGTTGCAAGATATAATCCAGCTTAGGGTCCCAGATATTGTCGCATTATCAGAGACGAAACTTGAAGGAAATATAATAAATGAAGTTATATTCCCAAGAGGCTATTCAGTTTGGAGATGTGACAGGAAAACTAGGAAGGGAGGAGGAGTGGCTGTACTGGTGAAAAAACACCTGAAGGTAAGAGAGTTAATATTTGAAAACCCTCGAGATAGTGACATAAAGGCATTGCAGATCTGGAATCAGGATAAGCTGATAATTTTAAATGCCTACAGCCCACCAACAAGCAACACATGGACAAAGAAAGAACTGGATGACAAACGAGACGGCCTCATAATGGTCATGAGAGATATTATTGTACAAGCAGATAAGGATAAATCACGACTGTTGATACTGGGAGACTTCAATTTTAAAGCAATAGACTGGGAGGCCTATGAAGCAAGAACGGAGGACTTTTGGACATGCAGATTTGTGAACCTCATTCTGGAGACATTCTTGTATCAACACATAAAGCAGGCCACAAGAATGAGGGAAGGAGATGTACCGTCAATACTGGATCTAGTATTCACCAGGAAAGAAGAAGAGATATTTGACATCCAGTACCTTTCTCCCTTGGGAAAGAGTGATCACGTCCTGTTAGACATTGATTATGCTTTAAGATATCATCTAGAAGAAAATTGGGACATTGAAACAGTTGATAAACTCGATTTAAGGAGAGGTCACTATGGGGAACTTTGAAAGTTTTTTAATGAGTGTAATTAGACAGACTTGTTCCTAGGCAGGGAAATAAATGAAATGTATGCCAAATTTTTAAAAATATACGAGGAAGGCACACAAACATTCATACCAAAACAGAGATGCAGGGCCAGAAAACAGGATTGGTTCGACAGAAATTGTGAGAGGGCCAGAGACCAAAAGACACAAAAATGGAATCAGTATAGGAAGAGGCCAAACCCCCAAACATACCAGTGATACAAAGATGCAAGAAACGACTATACGGCAGTAAGGAGAGAGGCAGAAAGAAATTTTGAAAAAGGGATAGCGGATAAATGTAAAACAGAACCGGGCCTATTCTACAAATTCATAAACAACAAATTGCAGGTAAAGGATAATATCCAGAGGTTGAAAATGGGAAACAGATTCACGGAAAATGAAAAGGAAATGTGTGAAACATTAAATAAAAAGTTCCAAAGTGTGTTTGTACAAAATGAAATCTTCAGAGAACCAGACACGATAAGAATTCCAGAGAACAACATAGAGCGGATAGAGGTGTCTAGAGATGAAGTGGAAAATATGCTAAAGGAGCTCAGTAACAACAAAGCAGCTGGCTCAGATGGCATTTCACCATGGGTTCTGAGAGAATGTGCATCTGAGCTCAGCATTCCACTTCACCGGATCTTTCAGGCATTCCTGTGTACAGGAATCGTAGCAGACGTGTGGAAACAGGCTAACATAGTTCCAATCTACAAAAGTGGCAGCAGGGAAGACCCCCTCAATTATAGACCTGTATCATTGACAAGTGTAATAGTGAAAGTATTGGAAAAACTAATCAAAACTAAATGGGTAGAACACCTGGAGAGAAATTATATAATATCAGACAGACAGTATGGTTTTCAATCTGGAAGATCCTGTGTATCGAATTTACTCAGTTTCTATGATCGAGCCACAGAGATATTACAGGAAAGAGATGGTTGGGTTGACTGCATCTATCTGGATCTAAAAAAGGCTTTCGACAGAGTTCCACATAAGAGGTTGTTCTGGAAACTGGAAAATATTGGAGGGGTGACAGGAAAGCTTCTAACATGGATGAAAAATTTTGTGACTGATAGAAAAATGAGGGCAGTAATCAGAGGCAATGTATCGGAATGGAGAAATGTCACAAGTGGAGTACCACAGGGTTCAGTTCTTGCACCAGTGATGTTTATTGTCTACATAAATGATCTACCAGTTGGTATGCAGAATTATATGAACATGTTTGCTGATGATGCTAAGATAATAGGAAGGATAAGAAATTTAGATGATTGTCATGCCCTTCAAGAAGACCTGGACAAAATAAGTATATGCAGCACCACTTGGCAAATGGAATTTAATGTTAATAAATGTCATGTTATGGAATGTGGAATAGGAGAACATAGACCCCACACAACCTATATATTATGTGAGAAATCTTTAAAGAATTCTGATAAAGAAAGAGATCTAGGGGTGGTTTTAGATAGAAAACTATCATCTGAGGACCACATAAAGAATATTGTGCAAGGAGCCTATGCTATGCTGTCTAACTTCAGAATTGCTTTCAAATACATGGATGGTGATATACTAAAGAAATTGCTCATGACTTGTTAGGCCAAAGCTAGAATATGCAGCTGTTGTATGGTGCCCATATCTTAAGAAGCACATCAACAAACTGGAAAAGGTGCAAAGACATGCTACTAAGTGGCTCATAATACCCAGAGTCGTGTTGCGCACCCCAAGCGGCTGCAGGCCCGTTGCGCAGTTCAGTAGTTAAGGCATATGGGGGACCTTCGACAAATAAATAAATAAATAAATATAAATATGTTTATTCAGGAAGGGTACATACATACAAGTGATGTTACATTAATGGATTGATATATAGATAGAGCTAGTACATACAATGCCTAAAGCCACTATTACGCAATGCGTTTCGGGCAGGAAAAACATTAATATCTAGAACTTAATACTAATTGAGCATAAAGAATAAAATGTGTTGAGAACAAATACAAATAAAGATAAAAAAAAAGGGGGAACATGACTGAAAAAGCAGCACAAATACAATAGGTTGACAGTGTTGATTAAAAAAAAATAACAGACATGGGTTGACAATAGAGGGGTAAGGTAGGTTACAGGGAATTTATTAGGTAGTGTTTAGTTTTTATCTTAAACTGGTTGAGAGAGGTACAGTCTTTAACATGGTTGGGAAGGTCATTCCACATTCTGGGCCCCTTGATTTGTAGAGCATTTCTAGTTTGATTAAGTCGTACTCTTGGAATATCAAAACTGTATTTATTTCTGGTGTGGTGCTCATGGGTTCTGTTACAACCTTCAATGAAGCTTTTGAGGTCAGGATTGGCATTACAGTTCAGCGTTTTATATATGTATAATACACAAGAGAGAATGTGCAGCGACTTAATATCTAACATATTCAGAGATTTGAGTAGGGGTGCCGAGTGATGTCTGGGGCTAGAGTTGGATATTGTCCTAATAGCAGCTTTGTGTTGACAAGCCACTGGCTTCCTATCCTCGTTGAGGCTACTATAGGATTAATGGCCATAAGATAAATGAGGTATATTTTAAGTAATGAATAAATTTATTTATATGGCTGTTTTAGTACTGTAATTTATAATAATTGCCTAGTTTGTTACATAATAATTAATAATACACTGTCTATTCCTTCTGTTTCTTAACAAAATAACAACTTACCCACACATCTTGCGAGTAATTTTAACTAGGTTTGAATTTTGGACAAGGAAGACTGACTGGGCACAGATCCTTAACTGCTTAATGTCCCTGTTCACCCAGTAGTAATTGAGGGGGATCTGGTTGTAAACAGTGTGTTTCAGATAAAACAAGTAGGGGTATGGATTTAATATTAGCTATCGGATGGCAAAACTCTCTAAGCTAGTTAAGAAGTCAGGACTAATTTATTCTTGTATTCACATGTTTAAATAATAGAAATAAATAGCTTACCTGAATTTATCCGAGGGCCACTAATACTAGTGACCTCGATGAGGACAGGAAGCCGGTAGCTTGTCAAAGGTCCCCATTTGTCATTTTCTTCTATCTGAATTTTAAAATTCAACAGAGTTTTGGCATTTATGGTTTTGGCTGAGTTTGCATAATTAAATAGAGTACCCAGTATAGTATTAAGTGTTTAGTATGACCTTACAGCAGTCCTTACAGCAGTCATTTAATAATACTTTCCTTTAACAGATGGGGATACCAATGAAGAACCGAAAGGCCAAAATGGAGAAACCCCGCCCTCTCAAAATCTGCACCTTAGGGGATCAGTCTAGTGAGTTATTTTGCTCATGTATGTATTTCCTATTAATAATTTTACTGCTTTGTGAGAGATCATTTAATTATTAATGCTAACATCTGAGAAAGTGCTCCCAAAGGCCTCTTCTCTCATTTCAATGGCTTGGGTATTTCCAGTTGTTGTGACTACTGGAAAAATAAGTCACCCACTTCCTTATTTTTGGTTACAAAATATTCAAGTTTTAAATATTCAGCCCTTCTATGCATTGGTCCTCCACCTACATGGAGATAAGAACTAAAGTACTTTACTAAATTAAAGAACTCTTACCTTGTGCTTCAAACTCACACTGTATCTTGTACTACCCACTTCCCCAGTATTAGTACTGTACTTAAAATATATATCTTTACCAGTGTAATCACCTCTGTCAATTTATATTGTAGTTATTTGTTGACCTTGCTACTGTAATGTACGGTTATGTTACGTTGTTGGGTAGATTAGATACACAGTGTTTAGTGGGTTTTCATATTTAGTAGTTTTGGATACAGCAGAGTCGTAGACATTGAGACGGAGCTGGGAGCAGAGCAAAGAGCTGAGTGAGGCCAGAGTCGGGGAGCTCTATGCAGGAGAGAGTGGCGGCTCGATGGGGAATCGTGAGTGTCTAAACTCGATGCAGCTGTACTCTGCTGTCTGCTCTGTGCCAAAGCTGCAGCGTCTTTGGGTCGATTAGAACTGTACACGTCGAGTGCTGCATTCTTGAGGTTGAAGAGGTGTGGTAACTCTGAAGCGTCTGAACTGAATCACTGTGGAATTGTACTGCTGGCTATTCGCTTCTTGAATGCTTATATTATTGAACTACACCTCAGCTTCCTCCAATAGGATAGAAGGATGGCGTACCTAGTAGCCAGAACGTACTTCTCAGCCTACTATGCAAGGCCCGATTTGCCTAATAAGCCAAGTTTTCATGAATTAATTGTTTTTCGACTACCTAACCTAACCTAACTTTTTCGGCTACCTAACCTAACCTATAGGTTAGGTTTGGTTAGGTAGGGTTGGTTAGGTTTGGTAATATATCTACGTTAATTTTAACTCCAATAAAAAAAAATTGACCTCATACATAATAAAACGGGTAGCTTTATCACTTCATAAGAAAAAAAATAGAGAAAATATGTTAATTCAGGAAAACTTGGCTTATTAGGCAAATCGGGCCTTGCATAGTAGGCTGAGAAGTGCGTTCTGGCTATTAGGTACGACAGGGGTTATATATATAGGTTATATATAAAACACTGAACTGTAATGCCAATCCTGACCTTAAAAGCTTCATTGAAGGTTGTAACAGAACCCATGAGCACCACACCAGAAACAAATACCTTTTTGATATTCAAAGAGTATGACTTAATCAAACTAGAAATGCTCTACAAATCAAGGGACCCAGAATGTGGAATGACCTTCCCAATCATGTTAAAGACTGTACCTCTCTCAACCAGTTTAAGATAAAAACTAAGCACTACCTAATTAACTCCCTGTAACCTACCTTACACCTATAATGTCAACTCGTGTCTGGTATTTTTTTAAACAATGCTATTTTCTGATCAGGGGGAGAAAGATAGTGGCAGTATGGGGCTTTAAATTTATTGAAGATTAAATTCTGGAGAACATGTAAATATATAAAGTTTCAAATATATAAAGTAAGTAAATATATAAAGTTTATATTAAACACGGTTTATATTATAGACATATAAACAAAGTTTATATTATATTAAACTTAATATTGAACATGTAAATATATAAAGTTTCGAATATATAAAGTAAGTAATATATAAAGTTTATATTCAAATATATAAAGTAAATATATAAAGTAAGAATTAACAGTAACAATTCCAAGTCCGAGGACTAGATTTAACTTAAAAGGTACACCCGTAGTAAGTATGAGACCTTAGCCTATAGTGACATGGAAACTAATTCTGCAGAAACCTAAAGGTTAACTGGTACTAGAATTAAGGCCGAGTGCAAATGTGTAGTAATTATATAACACTAGGATATAACAGGCAGGACACAAAGAATAACTAATAAGTGAGAGACCACATAACACGTAATGTACCCGGCCAAGAGGCCGTAAAAGACCTAATGAATAAGGAGAAGGGGGTGTGACTACAAGTAGGGCTTACTAGCACCTAGACTGGGCAAAGTATTAGCTGCGGACAGCGGGACACTTGGGGACCGGCGCTGCACCCCCCTTCCCACATGCAGTGGGGAGAAAAGGGGACAACTGTACAAAGCATGACGGGGGTACAAAGACAGCCGCTTGCAAAGGGGAGGTGGGTGGGCTTTGCGAGGGCAGCGGCGGGGGCAGGCGGAGTGAGGCAGAGCCCCTCTGTTTCCCCGTATTTATACAGCCCCAGACTGCCCGCGCAACGCCGCGGGACGCGCTGCGCAAATGTTTCTTTCTCCCCCATCAGAAACATCCCCGCTTGCGATCAAGCAGTGGCCATTTGTCGACCAAATTGTATTTTTCCTGTTTTTCTGCCATGTTCCCCCTTTTTTATTTTTATATTTTCTCAACACATTTTATACTTTAATCTCAATTAGTATTAAGTTTTAGTCTTTAGTGTTTTTCCTGCCCGAAACGCTTTGCGTCATAGTGGCTTTAGGCATTGTATGTACTAGCTCTATCTATAAATTCATCAATATTTGTATCACCCCTTGTATGTATGTACTTTACCTAAATAAACATTTGAATTTGAATTTTGAATTTTTTTTTAATAAAGGAAGATCCAAAATCATTTTATGCCTATATATGAAATAAAACCAAAACAAAGGACTCTGTAGGATCCCTAAAAGATGAGACTAACCAAGATATATTGGATGATAGAAGGGCTGCAAACACACTGAATGAATACTTTACATCAGTGTTCAAACTAGAAAGATTGAATGACATCCCATCACCCACACAAATGTTTGAAGTCGGTGAAGAGAATGAATTAAGGGATATACCCATTATATGCGACACAATCAGGAAGAACATTGACAAACTAAAAGACTCAAAAGCTCCAGGTGTGGATGGAGTTCACTCCAAAGTCATAAAGGAACTGGCAAATGCACAATGCATACCACTGAAACTTCTTTTCAGAAAATCCCTGGACCAAGGGACAGTCCCCAAGGATTAGAAATATGCAAATGTTACACCCATTTTCAAAAATGCAGAAAGTGCTCAGCAGAAAACTACCCTCTGATCAGCTTTACATCACACATCTGCAATCTCATGGAGAGAATCCTAAGGGACGGAATCATACAACATCTCAGAGAACAACGTGTAAAATCAACGCAACATGGATTTGTTAAAAATCACTGAAGCCGTCAACGGGGCACAAGGCAACTTTGCACTCGGCGCACCAAGTGCTGATGGATCTTCACTTCTGTTCCCTACATTGCATGTTCTTTGCACAATGCAAAACGATGCAGACATATTCACCCCTTTTCTCGTGTACCTGTGCTTGGCATATAACCAAGCTTGTGTACAGCAATGTGTTCTTTACCTCTGAGTTTGTCAGGAACTGCATGAGGCATTGTTGCTGGCACTCCATGCAGTGTTGTGAAGGGCAACACTGCCCTCCACCCCATACTTTACGAGTAGTTGTGACCCTAGAACAAAACTGAATGTATGGATTGGGGTCTGTTGTCAGATTTCACAAGATACATGTTGAAACAATTCAGCACTGTTCAGCACTGAAATGCCAAACACTGGCATTTCCCTCCTGCTCAGTACTCACTTCCTGCTGAGTAGGAGGGAAGTACTCACTGAGCAGTGAGTACTACTCAGTACTCGCTTCCCCCTTTAGAGCAGGAGAGATTGCTGAAATTGAGGGATACAGAGAACATGTACGGCACGCATAGACGAGATAAAGCACCTAAATTATTGGGATCGTCTCAAAGCTCTCCAAATGTACGTACTCGCTAGAAAGGAGACGAGAGAGATACCAAATAATATACACATGGAAAATACTGGAGGGACAGGTCCCAAATCTGCACAGTAAAATAACAACGTACTGGAGTGAACGACATGGAAGAAAATGCAGAATAGAACAAGTGAAAAGCAGAGGTGCCATGGGCACAATCAGAGAACACTGTATGAACATCAGAGGTCCACAGTTGTTCAACGTCCTACCAGCGAGCATCAGAAATATTACAGGAACAACCGTGGACATCTTCAAGAGGAAACTAGATTGTTTCCTTCAAGGAGTGCCGGACCAACCGGGCTGTGGTGGGTATGTGGGCCTGCGGGCTGCTCCAAGCAACAGCCTGGTGGACCAAACTCTCACAAGTCAAGTCTGGCCTCGGGCCGGACTTGGGGAGTAGAAGAACTTCCAGAACCCCATCAACCAGGTATCAACCAGGTATCCTGTGGGCCATGACAGTGTAACATACGCCGGTGTTGTGGTCAAGGAGGACTCTGGTCAGCAAGGGGGCTGGTATAGTAGTTGTCCGTGTACAGGATATACCCCTTGTTCAGCAACGGTTCCATGAGTGTTTTCACGACACTGCCTGAGGACCCGTGTGGATCTTGACCTGGTATGTCAACATCTGAACCTCAATACAATATCATGTCCATGACCATGCGAGTTTCACCGTCACATAACATGAAGAACTTTAGTCCAAACCTGTGTTGCTTTGATGGTATATACTGCTTGAATGCTAGTCATCCCTTGAACAGAACTAGTGATTCATCAATCACGACATTCTGTGCTGGTACAAAATAGTCACGGAACTTTCCTCTCTGTTCACTAAATATCTTCTGCACTTTCCAGTCTGTCGTGTGTGTCTTCGTTAGCATATTCCTCAAAGTGCAGGCACCTTGAAAGCAGCAGGAACCTATTACGTGATATGTATCTGTTGAGCAAGGGGGTTGGAACAAGGCTGTCTTTGTTCCAATAATCCTGGATCACATGTTTATCTGCATGCCTCATCATGCACAACGCTAAAACCACATACATTCCCTCATTAGTCATGTTTTTCCAACGTGTCAATCGAGAGGGAGGTAATATTCCAGAGTCAATTAGTTCCAAATTGTATCGGTTTGTCTCTGCAACGACATGGTCCATGAATGCCTGATCAAAATATACCATAAAATAATCAATTTCAGGCATATCATCACCAGTATAGGAGAATAAGGGTGTCACAGCAACATCAGTATCATCAAATGCTTGAATTTATCGGACCAAATTCTCACAATCCTGCCACACAAGTACACCCGTGTTTTTTGTTTTGACGCCAACACCACGGCCAATACCAGCACGAGTAGCACCAGCATGGGCGCCAACACCACAGCTCTGTCGTCTTGTGCTAGAGGTGCATATGGGTATGCCAGGAGATGAGGCGGTTCTGCATAGTATAGGCCTACCACAAACATCTGATGTTGAGGGTGCACTATTGTCATTGTCCTCAGGCCATGCGACATGCTGGCGCTTGCCTCGGTGAGGTGTTGGGGCAGCAAAACTGCGTCTAGTAACATCATAGCCACTTGCACTCGGTTCATCAACACTGCTTGTATCTGTGCCTATGTCACTGAACCCAGAAAATGACTAATCACTTGTAGTATCACCAAGTAGACTGATGTCAGGTGACACAGATGGTGATGGTAACTCCAGTGGTGTTGACTCAGGGCAGAATGGAAGGCCACACGAGGCACATGTACTGCACACACTCTCGACATCGTCCACCACATTCTCCCCATCACTCTTGTCAGACCCCTGTGTTGAGTCTTTATCTGGACTGTAGTTTAAATCATCAGTAATCAGTCCATCATCAAACAACATGTTGCGTATTTCATCCTCTGAGAGTCGTTTTGCAGCACCGCAGCTGACTGTGGACCGGGAGCTCGTAGATGATGTGTCAGACATGGTGGCTATCTTGAAACCGAGACTCCCCATGGCCGTGGGGCATGCCTGGATTTTTTCAAAATGGCGGATGATCACTGGAGGCCTCAGGCATCCATTTTGTACTCGAGTCAGTACACCAGTTTTGAATCCTATGCAATACCTACGAGCGCCCGGAGGCGCTATGCACATCTAGCACTGCAAGGCACTCTGCGCAGTATAGTGGTTAAGGGTCAACTTGGTTAACTTGATTAAGGATCCTACAGAGTCCTTTGCTTTGGTTCTACTTCTTATATAGGCATAGAGCAATTTGGGATCTTTATGTTTTGGCAATGTTGGGGCTTTTCTCTCATTTTTAAATCATGCAGTAGTCTGTTTTGATTTGCCTATCTCTCTAGTTGTTTTCCTGGTGGTGGTAAAGATGATAAACTCTAAATGTAAAGTGTTCATAGGCCATTGCTCCCTTCGCCTCTCTAGGTTGGACCAGATTCTGGCTTGCGGTTTCCTGTAGGCCAATAGAACTCTGCGACTGATGAATACCAGCAGAATGGCACTTAATTAGTGTGATGGCTTTGGGGAGCCTCTGGGGTTCATCCAGAAACTGGAGTTTCATTACTTTCTATGCCTTTTTTATTTATCTTCCTTTATGTTTTGCCTTTTATATAAATTATGCATTACAAGTAATTATTTACTGATTTCTTATTTTAACAGTGGAAAGTGTTCTTTCGGAAATGGACATAGTGGCGCAGTATCTGAACTCCTCAACATGTGACCGCACTGTTTACCCGGCAATTGTTGCACTTTGTGAAAATTTGAAGATGTTTGGTCCACAGCTAGAAAATGTTTATAAAGGTACATATACCTTTGTTATAGAAGCTTTTAAGACATACAACAAAAATGTTAATTAAAATATAAATATTTTTATCTTATTAAATAAGATTTTTGCATATGTAAGATGAGTAGTATGATTTTTTATTCCATTTTTCCTTATTCAAAATAAATATGGGATACAGTATCTCTTAATTTGTCTTTCTTTTTATTCAGACCAACTTGATAAATGCTATATATCTCTCCGAAATGGTTGCCGTGATGATCGCTTGAGTTTAGCAGCACGTTATCGTCTTCTTGAGGTGATAGAGCTGAGAGCAATGCACTGGCAGCCTAATGAGAACCTCATTAATTATTACAAGCAAAAACTGGTACAAATAGAGGTAAATAATTATTTTTATTTAACCCACTAGTTTTTTATGGTATCCAAATCATCCTCAAAAGTATGGATGATCCTTTTTTTATGATCCTTATGGATGATCCCTTCCATCCTTTTTTTGGCATTACAGTACAATGCTGATTTTATAAAAACTGTCTAAATTAAGTTCAGTAGAGAGTTGTCAAGTTCAGATTTTGGCATTTACTTCTAGTGATTTAGTTTGTTTCCTCTCAAATCCATTCTGTAGCATAATATTAAATTTAGTCCTATCAGCTTATCCTCATTCTGTTCAATTATATATATTTGCTGGGGGGAGTCCCTGCAGCTTCCCATAGCTATCCAGACTGATATGAATATAGTAGACTTTGGCATCAGTCAAAGTGCATGGAGTTCTAGGCCTACCAGGGACCACGAGTTAGAACCTGGCCCCCTCAGAGAGGCACGAGGAGCAATGGCCTACAGAAACCCCTGTGTGGTTGGAAGCATTCAATGTCTGCCATCGACTGGGTCAGGCACCCAGAAAGGTAAGCACCCCAAAACAAACCCCTATTCTAGTTAACATTGCTACTGAAAGCGAAACTAGTGGACAGAACTCCCGAAATGAAAACGAGCAAATGAACATGACGTCGCTGTGCTTCTGTCTGTAACCCCCCCCCCCCCCTCCAAGTCCTCAAGGGGAGGTTCCTAGGTCGGGGGAAGGGGGGGGGGGGTTGACTTTGGGGGCCTTGGGTCCTGTTGGACCCCGCTTGGGTTTTTGTACCCTTGGAGCGGGGCTTGGTGTTACAGGGGGTGGGGGTTCTCTTTTTTTTTCCCCTCTCCTCGTACGAGTTGGATTTGGTGTCTACTCCTCTCTGGGTTCTGTTCTGTGATCCCGAGGGTTCTTCAGTCCCATCTTTCTGGAGGTTTTTGGCTTCCCACACCATGTGGTGCGGAAGTCCGTTGCAGCTTACCTCCTGCGCGACCCAGAATATGCCTTCATAATGGATCCTACTTCTTTCATGTATGGTGCTTCCTGTCCATACTGGGTTTGTTATGAGGTTCCAGAGTCGTCCTGGCTTGCAGACTGCCCCTTTTTCTCGTTGGAGACATGGCTTTCATTTTGTCGCTAGAATGGCACGAGGCTCATGCGGTGGTTCAGGTTTTCCTGGGGAGCGAGTTTGAGCACCTCACTGTGTACTTGTTCACCCCTGCCCTTCCTTGGGATGAAGATGTAGTGCAGCTTCACATATGGGTCCTTTCCCTTTTGGCTGTGTTGGTCGCTGAGTACTGCGTGCCCGTGGCCTGTTGGCTTTGGCCTTGCGATTCTTTTCCCTTCTCAAACTGTCCTTGGATTGACTTGAGGAAGATGTGGATGCGCTTGGGGCTGCTCCTGGGGTCTGGTACATTGGCCTCGGCGGTGCGTGCGTTGTCTGCACTTTTGAAGTTGTGTGTGCAGTGTCGCTATTTTCTGGGGGGGGGCCCCGTTGGCTCCCCGGAGCTATACCAGGCTGATATGCTAATGTCAGACTTTAGCATCAGTCATGAGTATGGAGTTCTTAGGGCCTACCGGGGACCATGGCCAGAACCTGGCTCCCTCAGAGAGGCAAGGGGAGCAATGGCCTATAGAAACCCCCGTGTGGTTGGAAGCATTCTATGTCTGCCATCGACCGGGTCAAGCATCCAGAAAGGTAAGCGTCCCAAAACAAACCCATATTCTGGTTAAAATTGCTACCAAAAGCCGAACTAGTGGATAGAACTCCCCAACAGAAAACTTCTTCCTTCTTCCGGTGGTTTCCCTTGCTAGGTCCCCGTGAGTGTACATGTCCTGGGGGTTCACTTCTTAGAAAGTTGTTTGGTAGACTTGGGCGCTGGTTTGCAGTACCCTGCCAGGGATTACCTGAGCGCGAGTCCTTTTATAGTAAATGCTCAGAACCCTGGAAATCCCCTAGGGGGAGCGTGGGCCCGATGGATGTGGCCCCGGAGTCCCCCCCCCTCGCTTTGTGCGAGTTCGAGAGTTGCTCTGTCCCCTTGTCTCAGGGTGACTCTCCCTGTTTTGCCTCTGTCTGCTGCCTGTGAGGTCGGTGACACCTTTGGCCCTGAGTTCTGCGAGTTTTGTTGCTTGTTTGTGACTCGGTTACCCTGTCTTATGCTAACTATGTGGGTGTAGGCAGCACGGGCATTGCACGTTGCGTTTCGGTGGCAATGTGCTAGGTTGTTTGCTCCCCGGAAGCCCCAAGGCTGCCCCGTTTTGGTTGGTGGTCTTGTCGGGTCCCTGTCCCCCTTCCTCCCTGCATCCGAGTCCTAACCGTCTGGGTTTGGGGTCGGGGCAGGGCTTCCATGGTTTTGAGACTCGGTTGGTCTCGGGGAATTCCCCTTCTGGGGTAGCGACGGGGGCATTCGAGCCTGTTCCTCCAGCTGTGTTGTATGAGTCTGCCAGTGGGCTCCCTTTCTTGGTGATTTTCACGGCTGCCCCGTTTTTTTCTTGTGAGGCTGGGGCTTTGGGGGGACAGCTCGGACCTGGGGCTTGCCGTGTGGGTTCCCAGGGCTGGGGTGGGGCTGACATGGGGGGCCTCAGACCCTGTTGGACCCCGCCGGTGTTTTTCTACCCTCTGGGCGGGGCATGCAGTACGCGGAGTGGGGTTTTTCCTTCCCCACTCTCCGCACGAGTTGTTGGGCGTTGGCCCCTCCCCAGGCTCGGTTCCTTGTCCATTACACTCGTTGATTCCGTCCTGTCGGTGGGTGCTCTTCTTCGTTCTTCGCCCCTTTTTTCTTGGGACGGGACTTCTCCATCATGTTCCCCTCTTCTTGGGATTCTGCGTGACTTTTGGTCTCGGGTGCGACTGGACTTTTCTGTGCCTTCGTCATTTGTGTTTGCTTCTATGTGTTTTCGAAGGTTCGGGATGGTTTTTGCTCCTTCCCGTATTATTGGACCATCTGTCGTCTTTCGGTGAAGCTTCCCTCCGATCCTTTCTAGGGCTTGTTGGTCCTCTTCCGGGCTTCTTGGCTTGTTAATTCAGCGAATCACTTGGAATACGACCCGTTGGGCTACTTTTCTGCTCTGTTGTTGAACAGATTAGCCCAACCCGTTAGGCTACTTTTCTTTCGTGTCCTGCGCATGTGCTGTGGGAATTTGTTTTGGTTCGGGGCGGTGTGTACATGTGCTGGTGTTCTGTGTCCATTTTCCCTCGGGTGCTTCGCCTCTCGCTCTTCTCCTACAGTCCGTGCCCCGTTGCTCTTGGGGGTGTTCTGGAGTGCCGCTATGGGGAGGTTGCCGGGTTTTCCCTGCGTTTTGGGTGGGGGTGTGCCTCCTTCGCCGCTCCCCTCCTCTTCTCCTGCATGAGCGACTCTGGCCTGTTTCTGCGGGGGGTGCTCCCGGTTTTCTCGACTACGGGTGCACGATACCCTGGTATCGCATAGGTGCGCCCTGCTAAGGCGAGCAGGGCGCACCATCCTCTGTTCGTAGACTGATATGCCGGGTGTCACATGTCCTCTCTAGCCTCAATTTATTGTTTGGCTTTGTATTTGTGATTTTGCCAGCTGTTTTGTTTGGTGGCCAGGTGTTCCACCTGTTGTGGAGGAGTCTGCAGAGACAGCTTAAGTGAAAGTGATTTAGCTGTTTGGCGTGTCTGCTGTAGACAGTCCAGGTCTTGCTGGTGTAGAGAAGGGTGGGGAGTACCACTGCACAGTAGGTCTTCAGTTTGGTAGTAACTGAAGTAACTGAGTAACTAGGCCCCTCCGCTCCCAGATATTCTCACGGAATCTTCCAAAGACAGCGCTGGCCGTGGCGATGCTGTTGTTGACTTCTGTGTCTATGTTCACCGCTCTTGAGAGTATGATGCCAAGATAGGTGAACTTGTCAACTTCCTGCAAGTTCTGCCCCATAACAGTGATGTGTGGTTCCTGGTAAGGTATTCTGAGCATGGGTTGGTACATGACTTCACTCTTGTTGGTGCTGATGATGAGACCGAAGTTGTCACAGGCTTGTGAGAAGCGGTCTATTTCCTGCTGTATCATTTGCTCTATACTGGCATTGAGGATGCAGTCATCAGTAAACAGGAAGTCTCTTATGACAGTTTTCTTCACCTTTGCAATGGCCTGTTGGTGCCTGTGGTTGCACAGCCCACCGGTAGTCCTGTGTCTGATGGGTATTCCATCCTGGCAATCACGGAAGACATCAGTGAGCATGGCCGAGAATATCATTCTGATGAGTGTTGGGGTGAGAAAGCTGCCCTGCTTCGCACCATTCGTCACTGGGATCACTTTTGACACATCTCCATCATCCAATACTTTCGCCATCATTCCATTGTGGAACTGCCGCACAATTGCAGTGAATTGTCAGGACAGCCAAACTTCTCCATTATCTTCCACAAGCCATCTCTGCTAACTGTATCGAAGGCCTTGGTCAGGTCGAAGGAGGTCACAAAGAGGTCATTATGTTGTTCTTGGCATTTTTCTTGGAGCTGGTGTGCAACAAATATCACATCAACAGTTCTGCATTCTGTGCGGAAGTCGCATTGGCTTTCTGGGAGGGGGATCTACTTAAGGTGTTGAAAGCAACAGTTGAGCAGGATATGGGCCAGGATTTTCCCAGCAATGGACAGGTGTGAAATACACTGGTGATTATTGTAAGCTGCCAGTTGACTTTCCTCTTGTAGATGTGAACTAGGCTGGCATCTTTTAACTGTTGTAGGACCTCCCCTTCATTCCACATGGACTGGAAGAGCTTTGTTAGTTTGTGCATCATGGCTGGACCTCCTGTTTTGTACACTTCATCAGGGATTGCTTCTGATCCTGGTGCTTTGCCACAGGAAAGTTGCTTGATGGCCTTCCTGACTACTACTTCTGTGGGAGGTTATCATGGTCCTGATTGATCTCCACTGGAGGTAGGCGAGCATTGGTCTCATCGTTGATTGAGGCAGGGCAGTTAAGGACCTGATCAAAGTGTTCAACCCATCTGTCCAAGATCTGCTTCTTCTTTGTCAGCAATTGAGTAGAAATAAATTGAGGGGACATAAATAGTATTTG